GTCTTGAGCCACCACTCATTTTAAAATATTTTGCTTCCAAGGAGCCAGACTGTAATTTTTCAAGTAGTCTTAATTGAAAAGTTCTCCAGGCCTTCTCAAGGTCTTTCAAAGTTTCTCTTTGGTGCTTTTTCAATCATTTTCAGCCCAGTCCTTGTATCTGACCTATGAACCATTCAAGGGGGAAAAGGAATCTAGCTCAAAGGCTGAACCATTGTTGTTTCTATTCATAGACAATTTGGAGGGGGAAAAAAAAACAATTTTAAATTGTATCTTTGAGCATTTTTAATGTCACTCTGTTCTAAAAACACATCATTTGTTTCCCTTACTTTAAACAAATCTAGGCAAAATGCCAAAGATAACAAAGTTTGACTGGTGTAAAATAGTATTTTTGACCAAAGAGGTGATTCTCAAGTTCCATTAGTAAAAAAAAACTTGGCATATCTCAGCACTGTGTGTCTTTAAGAAGAAGAAGAAATGATAGGCCTAAAAAGCTATCTGCGACAGTATCTGAAAGTCATATCCTTAAAAAATAGGAAAAAAGCCAAGACTGGACAAGACCTGAGAGATGGATGTGGAAAATCATTCAAGTCATTATCAATACACAGTAAAAGCAGACCAGAGCCCAGACATTAACATTAAAGGAGTGTGAGATCATCTTAAGAGAAAACAGAACAAAAGGCAGCCAACAGCCAAAGAAGAGCTTTGAATGTCCTCCAAGAAGCCTGGAGAACTATTCCTGAAGACTACTTAAAGCAGGGGTGTCCAGACTGTTTTTTTTGTTTTTTTTACAAGAGTGCCATATTTGTCGATGGAAAATCAACCAGGGGCCAAAAAAGTAGTAATGCATTTTAAGGTAGGAGTGAGAGGCCGTATAAAGCCCCCGGGCTAGACTTTGGACAAGCCTGACTTATGAAATTACAAGAAAGCTTGCCTAATTCAGTGTTCTGTAGACAAACAAGACAAAAACTGAGCTTTCTGGCAAAAATACACAATGCTATAATTAGAGGAGAAAAGATGCAGCTCCTAAACCCAACCTCAGCTATGAAGCATGGCGGTGAAGGAGACATAATATGGTGTAGAAAACCTGAATGCCCTGCAATAACTAACTTAATTAAAATTGCCTACTGGGGAATGTCAAGGCACAAGTCCAGCACAGATAAGGAGAGGCAGGGTTATGCAATGAGACAATGACATGTACACAAACAGCAACAAGATAACATTTTTATAGAGATGAATGATGTGTTGGTGGGATAGGCTTTACTTCTGTTGCGACCATGACTCAACAGAAGAAAATGTATGGATGTAAAGAAGTTGTATATAATGGAAGTTGTGTTTCAGTACAGAGACAGCTATCAGAACTGATTTTAGACTCAGACATTTGCTTTGTCACTAGTGCTTCCCAGATTGACCAGACTGTTTTGATGAAGGGCCATTTTGTGATTTATCTTAGAAATCAATGCAGCGTCGTCAACAAAACTCTCGACACCGTCAATCATTGATATGATGCTTCACACTACAAATAGTCCTTGTCCTATTTTAGAGTACAGATGAGAAAATGCACATATAGAGTATAGAAAATTACAAATACACAGTTTTAACATTCACGATTTAAATAATTCAAAATAGTAGAGTTATTATAGTTTTGTGTTTTCTAATAATTTTTTATCATTTTAATTCATTTTGACTTTTTGTTTTGAATTCACTTTAGTTTTTATTGTATGAAAGTATTTCGTTTCAGTGTTAGTTTTTTTGTCTTTTTGATTATTATTTTAATGTTATATTTTATTTTTGCATGGAGAGCATTTGTCAGTATAAAATCAGTCTAGTATTACAATAAAAACACAGAACTTCTTGAAAGCAGTTGACTCCCACTGTTGCAGACATCCAACGTCTCCATAAACACGTTTTTTCACGTTCATAAATAGTTTTTTTTAACCAAACTTACAAATACTAAAGCTAAAAGTTTTTAGTCTCTATTTTTTATTTTGTTTTAGCTTTTCATGTTCACAAAATTGTTTTAGTTTTGTTTGTTTGGGTTTTTTTTTTAAGTCAAGTTTTTATTTAACATTTTAACTAAAAGGTTTCGTCACATTCTTTATTAGCTTAGTTAACCATAATAAGGTTGATGAATAGTTGCATAAACAGTCAGTTTGCACCTTTGTGGTGGCAGACTCAACAACTCCATAGAAATTTTTGGAAGGCTAGCCCAGCAGTGTAACAAGCCTTGACAAGAAAATTATTGAGGTGGCAGGTACGGTGCCAGGTTTGAACATCACTGTTTTTTTTAATAAGAAATCATTTTTGGTTTTTTAGAGGGTAAAAGTGACACAGTCTGTCCTGAGCACCTCCTGGATCAGAAACCGTTAACAGAATGTAAAATTAAAAAATTCTTATCTTTACATTGACAACAAAGCTATGTTGTTGGAGTTGAAGCAATCATTTATACAGTGCTGTAATTGTACTTGGAAAGGGTTCCAAGATGTTTGCCTTTCTCTCCCTCTAGCTGTGATGACTGTGATGAAGGTTTTATGGTCCTGGTCCACTTTAGGCTAATAGGGTTTCTGATTCCTTGGCAAAGTGAATGACTCATGTTGTCAACCACGTTAACATCTGTGCTGGATTTCAGAGTAAAATGAGTGTGTGGATTACATCAGAAGCCATCTCCATCTTAACTGCTTGAATGCATTGCTTTCAAACTTGTTATTATCACCATAGCAACAGGCAATCCCCTTCCTGTAGGTGGTCTTGTCATTGTTAGTGATGAGGTCCAAAATGGTAGTGCCACCTGCATATCTGAGGAGTTTGTCTCACTCTCCTCTTCCTTTTCCCAAGGAACCTTCTCTTATAGTGAGAAAAATAAGAAAACAATGTCACTCACAGAAAGAAGGAATACACACACACACACACACACATGCAAATATATACCACTCAGTTAATTTAATTTCCCAGGCACCCCAGACATTACAATATGCATGTTATTTATTTAGTTATATCAAAGCAGTCAGACCCCTAGGCTGCCCTGAAATAAGGTGTTGTAAAGTCACTTGTGAGTGTCCGTATCAGTCTGTGGGTGAAACACATGTATTCACTGGTTGCTTTTTAAGCACACCTTGCTAGTGTGAGTGTGTTGAATCCCTTTTTTGTCTTCAGAACTGCTTCTCTTCATGGCATAGGTTCAACAAGGTGCTGGAAACATTTTCATAGATTTTGGTCCATATTGATGTAATACATCCTCACACATGATAGTTGCTGCAGATTGGTCGCCTGCACCTCCATGATGTGAATCTTCTACATCCCAAAGCTGCTCTGTTGGACTGAGATCTGGTTGTGAAAAAGATCTGAGATGATTTAAGCTTTGCAACATGGTGTGTTATCCTTCTGGAAGCAACAATACCCCAGTCAGATGTGTATTAAACAATGCTTAGTTGGTACTAACAGGCCCAAAGTGAGCCAAGAAAATGTACTGCAACAGTCTGAATGGTTGATAATAGGCAGGATGGATCCATGCTTCCATGTTGTTTATGTTTATTTTTTGATTGTATCATCCAAATGTTGCTGCAGTTATTAGAAAAGATTTACCAGAGCAGGCAACATTCTTTTTCAATCTTCTATTGTGGAATTTTGGTGAGTCCATGCAAATTGAAGCCCCAGTTTCCTGTTCTTAGCTGGCAGAAGTGGTGAAAGTGCAAGAGAACTGGTCTGGTCTTCTGCTGCCATAGCTCAGCTGCTTCAAGTTTTAACATGCTGTATGTTCTGAGATGCTCTTCTGCATACCTTGGTAATTTGATTTACTGCTCCTAGCAGCCCAAAGCTTTCTGGCAACTCTCCTCTCAACTCTGACACCAACAAGGCAGAGAACTGTGACTCACTGGATATTTCTCTTTTTTGGACTGTTCTCTGTATACCCCAGAGATGGTTGCAAGGGAAAATCCCAGTAGAATCACAGTTTCTGAAATACTCAGACCAGGTTAATGAACGATTAGATCATCTTTCTTCCCCAGTCTGATGCTTGAACTTCAGCAGGTCATCTTGATAATGTCAACATGCATGCACTGACCTGCTGCCATAGACTGATTAGATATTTGGTTGAGTTGGTGATTGGCTGAACTGGTGTACCTAAAAAAGTGGCCTGTGTGAGCCTACTCTGTAAAGTAATGAGTGCACATTATCTTTCCGGGCCCATCAGATTTGAATGTTTATTTAAGCCAAGAATCTTTGGAATGCTGCAAATTGTATAGAGTAATGATGAGTAAAGTGAGTAACAGACCATGCCAGACATAAATGCAATAATATTTAGGCAAACTTCTCATTTAAGGCTAAACCCGGAGGGTAGGAAGTGTGTTGAGCTCAACTAATTGGAACAAAATTCAAAAATTAGAGCTTAAATACAGAATTGCCTGGAGTATGTTTACTGGACAAATGGTTGCAATAATAGTCCAGTAGTTATAGCAAAATGGCTCTGACTCTTTGCTGACTACAAATGGTGATAGAAGAGCAAACGAGACAGCTGAAAGTGGTTTAGATCACATTTTAACATGAAAGGTATCATTGATAAAGGGGAAAACCAGGTAATTAGCATTCACTCCTGGATATCAGGTTCACAGTATAAAAACAATAAAAACACCAAAACAGGGTACAAACTGTTCAAGCCACCATGCATTGGTGTGGAATACAAATCACAGATAGTCTGGAATTATATCGACATTATAGGGCCTTTTCAGTAATCATTACACTTCCAGTCATTTTAAACAAGCTAAAATAGGGTCCTGTCTTTACTGAAGCTAGCCGGCTGACACTTACGTATCCGGCAGTGATTGAAGGTCGTTGCTAAGCAACGGAACGCTGAACCGCCCTACTATGCAGCGCTCTTAGAAAAGCACATAAAGCGAAGTTAACACTATCCATGAGCGAATCTAATGGATAATGTATAACTGCTGCAAGTAAGTTGATTTTTTCGAACGTAGTGCGGCGCTAAAGCATGCCATCTTGGCAGAGTAGTCATGGACGAGGAAAAAAATAGTCCGTCTTTTCTTGAGGACCACAGAGTTAAGTTTGTCGAGGAAAAAGTTTGCGGGCTACTGCGGGTGCACAGCCAGACATGGCAAAGAAATGCTGTCAGCGAAGAGTTTCAAGGACCTCTGAAGAACTTCTTTGAAAAGCAGTCGCTTATATTTTTCTCTTCCTCTAAAAAGGGCTGTCTGGTTGCTTCTAATGAGGTATGTCTGTTACAGATGTTGCAGAGTCTGCTGCGTGTGTTCTTACAGCAGACATTTTGACATGTCATAGCAGGAAACTCGCAGATATAATCATGGCAATTTTCACTTAGGGAAGATTCTTCTTTTTATGTATGTTGGTTTGCTGTTACTGGGGCACTTCATCATTAAAATGATTGATTTCACCTGCAATTTTCCTACTACACAGGTAAAATGTCTGCTTTGAAAATGCAGTGCCAAAGCGCATTCTGTATAATACTGTCTTAGAGTATTTATTATGGACTCATCAACTAGCAAAGATCTTTTAAAATGAAACAAATAAATCGTTTCATCATGACATATTTAAAAGTCTTGCAAAATCTCACATTATTTCAAACGCAGGTTCCACCAGATGCGAAAAATGAACAAATCTATATTCTCAAGAAGAGAGTTGTTCCAGTCACCTCTGAAAACTGCAGGGAACTGCTGCTCTTTGGCCTTTTGACTCCACCAGTTCTCCTGCAGCTGTCATGTGCAGTTAAGCAGGTGACTGTGCCACCCATTTTCATACACATAAGCCATAAAGAAGCTTTTCTTTCCATTTCTAACCTGCCTGTGTGGGTTCTGGGTGAATTGGTTATGTTTTTGTCTTCGCAAGATATGTGTTCCACTGCTGTCCGACAACAAAAACCATCAGACTTGGCCACTTCTGATATCTGAAGACATCCTTCGACATGTGGAAATCATGTGCAGTCAGACCTCAGTTGTGCAGGGACGGGTTATGGGGAAAACTGTCCTCCCTATTCCAATAGCAGCTGACTGGATGGAAAAGCCACACGGCATCTTTGAAAAGTAAGAAAACAACCAAGCATACAGTGTAATCTTTGACACTATATATTTTAAGTAAAGCACTCACCTTCTATTTTCCTCCTTCAGGCATGAAAACTATGACAGGGCAGTAGCCCATACCATAGAGACCCAGGTCATCAACTGGACAAATCTGATCCAGAAAATTTTAAAGGAGGATTCATCAGACAAACTAATAACAGGCTGTAATCCAGGGCCCAGTGCAGAACTGAAGTTTTGGGCATCCAGGAAGAACAACATAGAGAGCATTTATCATCAGGTATACTTCCTAACCACATTGGTATTCACCAAAACACGTTTTAATATCTTTTCATCTCCTTCTACGTCACTATTTGCTAAAGTTGTATCTTGCTGTAGCTTCAGAGTCCAGTTATTCAAATGATGGTGAAGATGTTAGAGACGATGGATAGCAGCTATCATCCAGCAATCAAGATGCTAATTGGAAAAGTGTGTGATGGTAAGATTACCGTGTTACTTTTTTAAAGACAATGGGTAGTGTCTGCCTTGAACAGCATAATATCACCTCCATCTCTGTTATACAGTTAGAGGTTAACATATGATTATGATATATATTTTTTGTCCTCAAAAAATAAAGCTCTGCGAGAAGCCGAGGACATTGACCTCCATCTACAGCCACTACATGCACAGCTGTCTCATTTGGAAAACGGAGAGCTTCAACTCATGCAAACATACATGCCGGCACTTTTTCACACGCTTTACCTCATTTGGACCAACTGCCAGTCTTACCAAAGACCAGCACGCATCGTGGTATTACTGCAGGAACTCTGTAATCTGCTCATTGAACAGGTATAAGTTCTCATTTGAAACACCTGTATTTATAGATGTACATAGGGGGGTCCAGAGAAAGAGCTAGCTACTACCGACAGCTGACGTTACTCTGACTGTTAGCTGCTAGCATGAACAAATTCACAGATACAAAAACTTATTCCCTGTAGGCTTCTACATACCTCTCTGCAGATCTGCTTCTCAGAGAGGATCCAGAGGAAAGTCTACAAATGGTAACGAGAGTCATAAAGGTTTGTAGGTGTTTCAAAGACAGTTACCAGACCCAGAGGGAAAGACTTGCCAGCCAAGTGAAACATGCACCCTGGGATTTTCCAGCTGCTTTGATTTTCTCACGTTTCAACCAGTTCTTTAATCGTATGAAACAGCTTGAGGTGAGATAATATTTTTGCTTTATTGGTTGTCATAGTAATGTTGTGCGTGATTTTGTTTCCTGATCATTTTTTTCCTGATAGGAATTCTTTGAAATCATGCTACACTATAAGAGAATGGAAAAGTTGCAATTTGGTGGAACTAAAGGGAAACTCTACAGTGAGCATGCTGCTAAGATGCACAAAGATTTCAGTGACCTCTGCCAAGCACTGATCCACAGTAAAAACTGCCCGCTTGACTTGAACTCTCAGGTGATACTATTAATAAAGATTTTTTGGGATTTATAATAATAATCATAAGGATTATTTTAATATTATTATAATACACATGGATGCACTAGTGTTCATCATTAAATACTGTTGAACTGTTGTTTCTCTCATTAGGGTTTTGAAAGTGAGTATAAGAATTTCAAGATTAAGATTGCGGACATTGAATGCCGCCTTGCTCGCTTTCTGTGTTTGGCTTTCAAGGATTGTTCAGGCCTCGAGTCAGCAATGAAAGTAAGTAAGACTGCATGCTAGTGTGGTAATGCATTATTTACCAAGTGAATGGTGAACAACAAAGACTCAGAGTGTTTCGGCCCGTAGATGCTAACTATTGCTGGACCCTTCCTGGAGAAAAGACAGATTAGACAGATATTTGGTCCCAACTTCCTTCTGCTACAGCAACATTTCAGAGAAGAGCTGGAGACGTGTAAACATCTATTGAAATTACAGCTTAATCAGGTACTCCAAGCTAAAACTGGATACTAGCAGTATGCATTCACTGCACAATAGATATTGTTAATTAGATTTTTTTTCTATAATCTCACTGTGTTTACAGATGGAAACTAGTCTGGTGAAGAACATGGCACACACATCTGGAGCTTTCAAGTGGGCAAAAATGCTCAGAGAACGCATTCAAAGACCATGGGAAAAATTCAGATTGCTTTTTGGCAAGTCAGTAAAAACAAAAATTAGAATATGTTCTAAGCATAAGTTACACTTCTTGTCTTTATTGATTATATTATTGAACAGAAAGAGATTTATTTTTCATATTTCCAGGCCTGCAGAAGGAGTAGACATGGTTACCGAGTACAGCATGTACACAGAGATCTTGAATCTACTAGACCAGTTTGAGAAGGACATTTACTCTGACTGGTGCTGTGGCTTAGAACAGACGTGCCTGATTAACCTGAACCAGCCACTTATCTCCAGAAATACCTCTTCTGGCCTGATTTCGGTCAACTTTAATCCAAAGGTAACCAATTTCATGGAAATATGAAAGTGTACACCTTTCAATGCTCAACTTACTCTTTGACTGAGAGCATGCAGTGGCCCACTGCTAAGGCACCCTCAAGATCCCTAAAAACTTCTCAAAGAATACAATTCAAATGATCCAAGAATCATTATTTCTTACCTCAAACTTTTAATCATACTGCTGACACAGTTTGCAAAGTACAAAAATAGTAGCAGTGTTGCAGTGGAAGGAGCACATTTCCATATTTAGTTATTTTATTCCTTAATTTTTTTTCTGTAAATTGATACAAAGTTTTCCCTGATAGGTGCCAACACCATCACAACAAACACTGTTGCCCTGGCAACCTGGTGTTGATAGTACCAATAATTCTGCACCAGAATTAATAGTACTTCTTCTCGTAATCATCTGCGGTGTCATCCAGAATGTCCTGGTAGAGTGTTTTGCCATAATTCTTCTTGTAGTCTTCCTTGATCCTCTTCATGTCAATTTCAGATCGTGATCAGATCGGGCGATCGTGGCTCAAAGCTGTGTAAAGCGCTTTGGGGTCCCTAGGGGGGACTAGTAAAAGCGCTATACAAATACAGGCCATTTACCATTTACCCATTACCTACTCACAGCATATCAATGTTTATGCTTTCGCATACCTGCTTTATCAGTAGCAGAGTATTACTTATACATAATCAAGGACAGGAATATAGATTTTTTTTTTTTTGTTCAAGTTAGACATGACCAGGCTTTTGTAGATATAGAAGCCTCACTCTTCTGGACGTGGAGGTGGGTGTGCTATTAGACAACCCACTCACCACTTTAATCACACTCTAGATTTTGTTCTAACATGTGGCATAGAAACTGAACATTTAAGTAAGCACAAGTGTTTTCTGAAAGCCCTCTCTTGTCTGATCATTTTCTAATAACGTACATTTACAATAATTGATTACACAGCAGTGAGGAATAGATTTCAACACAGATATCTTTCTGAAAGTGCTGTAAATAGGTTTAATTATATAATTCACTGACTTTTACTCCTGAATGTCACTCCGACAGAGGTCTTGTTAATAATTTTATTTCTTCAATATGTGTGGCTCTGTATGCTGTAGCTCCTGTGAAAAAGGAATATAATTCTCAAATGCATTAATGCACCTTGTAAGCTGGGGAGGAAATGGTGTATCACAAATTTAGAAGATCATCATTTAGCCTAAAAGTTGTTTGCTGCTTTGTAAAAAAAAAAAAAAGCCCTCTGTAGAGCTGGAACATCTTAATATTCATCATTGATTGAAGAAAATAAAGAATAACCCTATATTTCTCCTCAGCACTGTAGTCTGGCTGACAAAAAGTCAGAGCTCTGTTAACATTAACTAGTAATGATTCCTTGAATTTGTTCACAAATAAAAATTTAAACCTTACTCAAAATCATCTCACAGATGTAACATTATCTACATTTATTTAGTATCTTTTACTCCAATTGATCTTTCTGAGTTAACTTCAGTAATTACTTCCTCCAAACCATCAACGTGTCTTTTAGACCTCATTCCTACAAGACTGCTCAAAGAATTCTTACCATGATGTTATGCTTCAATCTTAAATATGATCAACCTATCTATAATAATTGGCTATGTACCACAGGCCTTCAAGCTGGCAGTAGTTCAACCGTTACTTAAAAAGCCATCTCTTGACCCAGCTGTGTTAGTTAATCAGAATCATATCTATCTAATACACTCCAGTTTGTCCATGTAAATGGAGTGCCCTCTTCACTAAGGTTAATTATGGAGTTCTGTAGGCTTACATGTATTTAAAAGTAAAATGGGAGGGAGAGCCTTCAATTTTCAGGCATCTCTTCTGTGGAATCACTGTCGCCAGAGCACTTGCTCATAGGGGGTCATATGACTGTTGGGTTTCTCTCCGTTGTATTATTGTTGGGTCAACCTTACAATATACAACTTCTTGAGACGAGTCTTGTTGCTATTTGGCGCTGTGTAAATAAAATTGATTTGAACTGAACTGACAAGGCTTTTATTGCTGCTGCCCCTCTGCAGTACCTTATTTCTGGATGTTTTCAGCTAAAATGCCACTTACTGATGCCTTTGACTTTTGTGTGTAAAATAAATGAATCCGAATTTTTATTATTATTACAAGCTATTACTAGTTATTACCTGCATTACTGGCAGTTTCTGCCAGGCCTGGGGTGCATTTTAAATAATACTTTATGTATTTAGTGGTCAAACAAAATTTTGTTGTGAATGTCAATTTTGATGACCCTTAAGCTGCATGTGTGATGATGTTCGTGCAAGGTTTTCTTCAGATCAGTCCATTCATTAAGGAGGAGAAAAGGCATATATACATAAAAATGCTACAGTAATTATAGTATTACATTTAAATTAATTCAATTAAATTAATCAGTAATTTCTTTTACTTCTCAGCTGACTGAGGCCTTAAAGGATGTGAAGTATTTTCAGACTGTGAGTGAGATCACCATACCTCCAGATGCACTGGCTCTTTTTGAGAAGCGTGAAATGTTCACAAAGGTTTGAAAAATCATTTTAGAACTGGGCCACACAAGGTCACCCATCAAAGTTAAACAGCAGTTTTGTTTTATTTTTTATTTTTTATTTTTTATTGGCCCTAAATGCATCATTTGCTCACATTTGTATTTTTCAGTATGTGAACGGTTTGCAGCTGTTAGTACAGTGGTACAACGAGCTTAAGCAGACAGTGTTAGAGGTGGAACTCCCTCTCATCAGAGCTGAGCTGGAGTCAGTAGACCTGCAGCTGTCGAGAGCAGAGACCAGCTTGACGTGGCAGGACGAGGACTGCTGGAGCTTCATCAACAACACCAAACACCTTGTACAAGACCTTGTCTGTCGAGTTAATAGAGTGAGGGAAAACTGTGATGCCATTCAGTGTGTGATGAAGAGATGGAGCAAACAGGCCATGTTTTGCAGAAAGGACAACAAAAAAGGTTCACTCATACAACTGGACGAGAGAGGAGACTCTTTCAGGAAGAAGTACAGCTCCATGAAGAATGATGGAGACTATATACATGGGCTGGTGCAGGTGTGTGTGGCTGGATCTGTGAAGAGTAACTGAGCCATTATAGATTTTCTGTGAATAGCTAAGTAAGCACTGAAACATGTATGTTTCTGTTGGTATGGTTAAAAACAGCATTCACCTTGATTAGATTAAAGCACATTATTGGTTCTGTTCACTGACAGTTTAAAACCTTGTTTAGTTACTTTTTGTTCATTTTATTTAAACCTTGAATTTATGTGCAGCTTAATTAAACATCACATTAGTTTCATTATGAAGATGACTTGCATATGATACCATAGATTCAAATCTAAGTTCTTTGGTGTATGTCCTGTATTGTTTAACATTAATTTTTATGCAACATGGAGCTGCTAATGCTCTTAGCTTAAAAACTTTTAATTATAATCACAATCATCTTTTTACTCTGACATTCTGGAAGTATTTTTCTTGATATAAATAGTATTAACATATTTAAGCACTTAAGAAGCCAATAAAATAAAATTACTCCAGTTGTTGTGGAATAGATAAATCCCCCCAAGCAGAGCTTCAAAAATCACGTGAAATAGAAATTATTACAAGCAGAAGCTAAATATTATTCTAATACTCTACTTCTACTCAGGAGAACATGGTTCTTTTCCATGCTGATCCGGATTCAGAAGAGTGGCAGTGCTACCTGGAATATTTGGATGACATGGTTGTTGAAGGGCTCTTCAGCTACATCAGTCGCTCTCTTCATTTCCTCGTGGAAAACATGGAGGCAGGCCTGAACCAGACTCCACTGTTTGAGGCGAAGCTAATCCTCAATGGCTCAAAGATGACTTTCTGTCCCTCAATGGAGAAAGATGCAGGAGATAGCCTCTATGAACTGATAGAGGGGCTGGTTGCAGATGTATTCAAGACTTCAGTGAATATCAGGAGAGTGGCTGCTCATCTTAGCATGGAGACCTATCAGGTACGCTTCTTTTATGTTTGAATTAGCACAGGCTTCTTATACACTTGACAAAAACTAGGAGATGTCTTCTCTGCTTTTACTGCAAAAGTCACACTTTTAGAATTGCACAATTTGAATGACTTGCTAGTTATTATTTGTCATTGTACTTTTATATGTGCTAAAATGTTCCCAGATTACATCGTAAATATGTTCCTACTAGAGCGAAGAGTACAGCCTCCCTGTCAAAAGGAGAATAGTGGTAGACTGTGTTGCTGTGTTATAAGTGAAGTACTGTTACATCCAGGGTGTTATCAGTCGCAGTCTAAT